GTCTTGAGTTCATGTGAATACTAGTCTTGAGTTCATGTGATTACTAGTCTTGAGTTCATGTGAATACTAGTCTTGAGTTCATGTGAATACTAGTCTTGAGTTCAATGTGATTACTAGTCTTGAGTTCATGTGAATACTAGTCTTGAGTTCAATTTAGTTTACAGCCAAAAACATAGATAAGTAAATACCAGCAAGCTGTTTGAATTTGTTGTTTGACCATCGTGTCGATAAATGAGATTAGAATTGTTTCCCAAAACATAATTCAAGAATTCCAGACTTTAAATCAAAATACATAAAATGATTACAAATGTAAATGTTCTAGATTTAAATCCAAAGAAACCAATTAGATCCAATAAGCTCAAAAGGTGGTAGGAAAAGAGGAAGACATTGCATCCAACAATACTCCAAGCCACACACAAACAAATAAATTACCCAGTCAGACTTTTGATTCCACCTTTTTTAGTAATTTACCCTATGTGTTAGGCTGGTAGCTGATTCCCTTTTCATGAGAGTCAACTCGGTAGACCACCCAGTAGTTCCAACCATTGCGGTTTCATTTCATCAAATTGTAAGCCCTGTTTCTTGTGGTTACAGCATGGCTGGCAAGTTGACTGCATCTTCCCAAGAAGCAGATTCAGGCAAATCCGTCCATCCTGTTTGTATCTACTTGAGGCAAGAGGTGAGACTATTACGGGAGCTTGTCCAAAATGTCGCCGCGGTTTGGCCCTGTTGCGAGGGACCGCCACAATGGCATGAAAACTCACTCATGCAAAGAAAGTTAATGAGGCAGCCCCAGGTTGAGCGCCATTGTGTTGATGACTCTTGAATTATGCATGACTGAGCATGGCAGACCACTTTCAACCGGGAAATTCCTTGCGTAGTGCAAACCACAGTGTGCTCACACATTTCCTCAAAAGTATTCTCTGAATATAAAAATCAACATGAATACTGTAAATTGGGTGCGCCAGTAGAAATTTCCCTTTTTTCGGCTTTCTTAGCACCCAAAACATCTGCCACTAAAAGTGTCGGAATCCTATATAAACTTATTGGGATGGGAAGATTAATACTTTACCAAGAGATTGCCTTGGACATGTGGCACATTGGACTGGTCAAAGTTAAGAAGCTTACAAGGATCATTTGTCAACTGGATTTCCGTCGATTTCGGCTTGCGTTGTCTTCCAGTCTAATCATCTGCCTTTTATTGCTTGCATGCAAGTATTCCACACAGAAACACCATCAGGAACACTCTGAAATAAGTTGTTTACCAGTCAATCAAAATGAATTGAGAGTTCCTGTGTGGAAAATGTCACCTCGTGCACCTCCTGCAAAGCGAGTACTGTTTTAGATGCAAATTTCAATTTTTCTGTCCCATAATGCACTGCTGGTGTTAGGATTTGCACCACCCACAGCAGCTTTTCGCTCCTGTGTATTCCTTAAATTGAACAGCCAAACTGTTACACGAAAACCTTCAAAGCAGATCGTGCAGAGAATATGTTATATCAGATCCCTTCTCAACAGTCAAGAACTGAGGCATAATTGTTCTCTGAAAATGGAATTTCTGCATTTGTGAATTTAGAATTTAGGTTGTCAATATTGGTTTTGCACAGCCATTGCTTATTTCATTTCCTCGCAATAGATTGTTGGAGAAACCTGGCTCAGAGAAACGACATTAAAATCTCTTGGACTGACGAGCGGAAAAGCAATCATCAGGTAAAATTCCAGCCTAAGCCTTTTTGTGTCAGGGTATATGAAAGCAAAAAAAAAGGGAAATTAAAATGGAGGCCAGTGTGTCCTCACTTTGGCTATTTGTGAATAAACCCTATTTGAATTTGAAGATGAGGCACCTTCAAACTGTCTCATAGAGGACAGGTGTAAGTCCTCACAAGCCTTCTTGTGTCGGGGTAGATGAAAGCTAAATTACATTGAAAATTAAAACAGAGGACTGTGTGTTCTCACCTTTGTTAAAGAATAAATCTTATTTAAATTTTTAGACGAGGTACCTTTAAACCTTCTCACAGATGACAGATATAAGTTCTCACAAATCCTAACAACTGCATCAAAAGCCTGTCACGAATCAAGTCTGAAGTCACAAGCTTTTTAAATAATTTGTGAGAGTGGCATTCCTTTGTCATTGCTCGCTCTTGTGTACTTTGGGACAAAAAATTGTTACTGGATTTTTGACCAGACTTGTCATTTGGCCTCAGATTTCACTCAACTCCAGCTCTACCAAGAAACCCTCTCTGATCACACAATTCAAACACTCTAATTTCCCTCCTACTTCATTAAAAGCATAAGTAATGTACTTTTAAAGTACAGATCTTTGTGGAAATACTTCGCTTATCATATAAAAACCTCTAGTTACAAAAACTTACTTAGCAATGAAATATTTTGCCTAGTGTACAGTTGGTAACCATTAAAAATTCTGTGTTATTCATATTGCTCCTGAGTGGTACTCTGCTGGTTGTTTGCTCAATGCGTAGATTTGTTTAGCAATGTTTCAAGCATTGTGCTGTACATGCATTTGGTATCAAGGGACTTCCCTGCCAGAGAGTGAAACTAGAGATGACAGGCCAATTCTTTTGGCCCCAGGACAGGGCGACATGCTATTCAATTACGCTACCATGTTAACGCACACACGCTTATGTGCTCATGTGTCGTGTCCGCAGTCTTCTACGCACATAAAGCTTTTTAACAAAATTTTCCTGACGTCATCATTTCAGAAGTGCATCACATCTCAGGGCACTTGTGCCCATTTTGCATGCATGTGCAGGCGTCTGCAAAGTTCCAAGTTGTTTGTCCGTTATGGGACAATTTTACATACCCTGCGTCCCCTCTAGTTCCACGTATGATCTCTGCGAATCACACAAGCAGTTGCAGCATTTTTCCATCAGGAATATGAGAGGAAAATTGCATCATCATGAGTGCCCTTGAATTCTATCACCAATGCTTTACTCAATTAATTCTGCATGAACTTGTGGAAGCTTCACTACTCTGTGCACAATTACATGTATCTTCCCAGGCTAATCCACAGAGCGGTCGATCTTCCAGCTCCACCTGCACAAGCGGCAAAGGCTACCCCCGCAACTCAGATGCAGCAGTCCACTCATCCATCACCTCCTGCGCCTCAGGGACAGTCCACTTCAGCATCTGGGGGTGATACCAGCATGGAAGCTATGGAGCTGCAGAAAATGGACACAGAACCTGGAACTAGTCAAGCAAGTTCCCAAGAGGACAGTGACATGAAGGAGATGAATTTAAAAGCATTCGAAGCCGACGCTCGGAACAAAAGTACCAAACCAAAACCTAACGTTATTCAATCAGAGATTAAATCGCTAGATTCTGCTCTCCCCGATTCCCCTCAACCCATGGACGTTGAAGAAACTCCAAAAGCAAGTCAAGCGGCTCCTGTTCCAAGCAGAAATCTTGAAGGAAATGCAGGGGCGCGCCCTAAGCAAACACAGTCGAGACGGGGGGATGCTGCGCCACAACAGATGCCCAGCTCGCAGCTCACCCCAGAAATGGAACAGGTAAAATAATGAACAGTTTCATGGAGAAATTTATTCAGTCCTACTCCTTAGAAATAGATATGTCTGCTTATGAACCCTAACTGCCAAGCGTATTGTTTGGCTTACACTACACAGTACTACAAAATACTAAGTAAATACTAAGTAATAGTCTGAGCCTGAAGTACCTAGCGCTACAGATCACTACTTCTGGCTAGGTTACTTCCATTGTTACTTGTACAGAGAACAATAAAGCCATGCATTCATAGTGCCACAGCACTGTATGGTACATTGTCTTTTCTATTTTACCTTATGGCTTCAGAGAATAATGAGATCACGTCCACTTACAAACGACAGGACTGAATACTACATTTTACTGCAACTAGTAATTCGTAGAACTATGTAGGGTTAGGGTTAAAAAAGGAAAACTTACAGCAAGAACATGTTTACAGCATCTTTTGGATGGTTCTCAGCCGTGCAATTTTATGAGCTAAACTCTTGTGTGAAATGGAGCGGACAAGAACAGCTTTAATCATTGTTATAGTTCCCCTGTCTATGCACACTAAGCTGATTCAATTTTTGGCAGTGTTGGTAGTAGTACGGTAATATTTTTCCCCCGTGCAGAAAGCTAATTTAATGGGTGCGGCTCTCGCTGAAGCTATTCTGAAACACCGTACTGAGCAACAGCTAGCCCAGCTCAAGCAGTCTTGGTCGGCTCAGCTGCAGAGCAGGCCAGCATTTGCAGAATTCAAGGTAAGCTTACGTGAAATCTGGTCTGCCATGCTTTCCCACCAAGCATACCACTTTCTAATCAACTAGGATCATGTAGGATTTGTGGAGTGTAAATAAAGTCAGAGACATTTTAAAAACTTTTTTAAGTTCAAAGCTATTGCATGAAAGTATTCTCATGCCCAACAAACAGGAGTTTTTATCACCCGTCTGAAACCATTCACAGGGCAGGCTCTTGACTAACGGAAATTAAGGTATTTTATGAGTACCAGTTATTCATGAGTACCAGTTACTGTCATGAAGTGATTAAGTTTCAATAATTAACCCCAAACTGTATGAAACTTTTAATTGTTGTTTTGCTGGAAAAAATCTGAAATTATTAAAATTTGTGAATTTTTTATACAGTAAGCCCTGGGACAACAATAAGTGTACAATATTAAAAAATATACGTTGATAAAATCTCCCTAATGGAAAAAAATTACCTCTTTCAAATGGGGATAAACCTTGCAAAGTACTCTGTGCATTTGAAACAATGATCAATGTTGACTAGCTTTTATAATTGGCTTTGTGTCTTGAAAATATTTGTGATCTTCAGTTTCCAGAGAAGCCCAGTGGCCATCCGCCGCCATTGGGTCTCAAGCAGACGTCTAGCCAGCCCCCAGAGCCCTGCGAGAGGCATCCGCTCGTGTTTAGTCTGGACCAGGTTACGGGGGACAAGCCGGTTACCGGTCATGACCTGCCGGACGAATTTTTTGAGGTGACTGTGGAGGATGTGCAGAGAATGATGGCTGACCAGCAATTGCAGCTGTGAGTAAAACTTAATGAGGGTGATTCACAATGCAGTGCGCCACCAAGAGGTCATGGAGAGGCCTTTTTGGTAGTGCATTGTGGGACAAATATTCCACAAAGTCTCGTTCACTAACTGCGCTGTGCACGGGAAACTTCAATTTTTCTGAGTGTTTGTTTAGCACGTTTGAAATCTCTAAATTGCTTATTGCAAATATGGGTGTTAGGTTGCCAAATGATGTTTTTTGTGTGGTGCAGGTTATGCCTCAATCAATCAAATATCCCCAAGTTTCATACCAAAGTGCGCTCAATCGCGGCAGTGTGTTGATCAAAACTCGAAAAGTGGCCTGTCAGCAGCAAACGCTTGGCGGCACACTGTATTGTGAATCTCCCATGCTCTTTCTCCTATTTTTATGAATCTTGTTTGTGTTTACTGTACTTTGTGTGCCTTTTACCATGTCAAATTATGCGGCATCTTTAGATATCTCAGAGTTTCTGGTAAACCCAAATTCACCGCATTACTTTTTTTAAAAAAGTTGTCAACATTCAATTTCTTAAAATGAGCTTTTTCAAACCCGAAGATCTATCATTATGATGAATTAAAGATAAGCTTTCTGTTGTCTATTGTCACTGCAAAATTTTTTTGTATGGTATTGCATCAGTAAAAACAGTTAAACCAAAATTTGTGGCAACAAAACAAGAACAGAAAATTTTGTTTGGGAGATTAATTAGGATAGTTTGAACCAAAGAAACACCAAGCAAAATCGGTAACATAAAAATCCAAGTATTTCTTGAAACATGTTCACAGAATATTGGACCTGGTCACATTTATCTCGTGCAATATGGCCACTTGCCTCGAAGTTTTGGAGATTAAATCGCACGGTATACACTCAGTTGAGTTGGACAACACCACAGAGGACAAGGTGTCTCGTTTCCCATTTTTCCTGTATCAATCCCCCATTGGCAAAGTAGAGGACGGTAATTTGGCAAAGGACTGACCACTGAGGATAGGAAACTCCATGTGTCTGTCCTCTATTAAAAAGTTAAGCACCATCTGTAAGTTCCTTTGTAGCTCACAAGCATTTTCATGGCTTTGCTGAGATTTTGTTTATCTGTTTATCCTTTGCCTGTTTGTTTATAACCGAAAGCTATGTTTTGATCGTGTTAACTCAGGAGCCGTATGGATGAGCAGCATCTACAGACCCGGGCGATGCGGGAAGCAAATGCCTTCAAGAAGGCCAAGGAGTACTCCAAGGTGGCCGTACGTGTCCACTTCCCTGACCGCTACATCCTGCAGGGGTTCTTCCGACCTCTGGAGCTCGTCAAAGCCCTCGGAGACTTCGTCCGAGATCATCTACAGGATCCCCAAACCGCATTCTACCTGTACACCACTCCGCCCCGTCGCATCCTCAAGGACAATTCCCTGTCGCTCTTCAAGGCTGAGCTGTTCCCGGCTGCCGTGGTCCACTTTGGGTCCGAGATGGGCCGCGATCATTACCTACGGGAAGATCTCTTGAGCCAGTTGACGTCTTTTCGCAGAGCTACAGAAGAAGCCACGTCAGTCATTCAAAGAAGCATCTCACAGGATGAGGCTCCAGCAATTACTCACTCAAGCATAAACCAAAGTGTGCAGCTGGGCCCATCAAGTGAGTATGAAAGGGGTTTTGGTGTGTCACTCGTACCACACACAAATGGCATAAGTAGCTTAATCTACCTTGAGCAGAATCACTCCTTCATTGGTTAATAAGAGCCAGATTGGTGGGGAGTATTCAGTTTGTTGGTAGCGACGTACGTGACCCTAACGCATGCATTTCATAGTCATTTGTGTATCAGCGAAGTGCAGTGCCCACCAAAGGAGCCTGCGTTGCTAGGAAAATTGCGCCCTCTCTCGGTCCAGCTCGGTGCTCAAGAGATGTACCGCATAAATTTCAGGCATAGTTCCAGAAAGTTGCTCCAAATAAACTTCATACGTAGCTCCTTATAGGTGTACCATATTCATGCTCATACTTATATGCCACTTCAACCATTTCAGAATTCAAGTAAGTGTGGTACCACCCAAGTATGGCATCTCCTACGATTAGTCAGTCTTTAGAGTCAGTCCTTAGCGTTTTGTGGAGTAAAATGGTAATTATGAGATGTCACTGAGATAGTTTGTCACCCATGTGCATGTTGTGTGCGGGACTTCTTAAATTTGACATGGGTGTACATTTGGCAAGCTATAAACATTTGGTTGATTTTCACATTGAGTGCACGTGTACATTTTGAAAAAGAATTTGGTACCACTCATTGCTACCCTCTGTTCAATAGCGGTCGCTGAATTATCCTCTAAATGTAAATCTCTGATATAGAGGGTTTGCATGGCTGCCATTTTGCAGGCCACTGCTTTTGTTCCATGGAGTAAGCACAAAGAAGATTTCCCAAGATCTCTATCACGCAAAGCCTTTATTTAGGGTTATGTTGTGGTCATAATCTTTTTCTAGTATATTGAAGGATTATTAATTGGAGAAGGGAGTTATCAAGATGAAAGTTTGATGATTTGTAAGTGGATTTTCTTTCTGAGATTTTTTCCAAAACTGTGGGAAAGACAGGTTTTGTGGCATCTTCTCAGAAGGTTGTGGAACTTGAGATGTTTTTGGCCTCAGAATTCTTTGGCACAAGCTTTACTCTCTGAAACAAAACAAGCATTTGGTATTTCATTCCCGATGCTTTGGTGTCTCCTTCATCAATAGGTGGGGCATCGACATCTAAAGCCTCTGCCCCAGGCAAGGCAGAACCTCCCGGGCCCAGCAAGAGACAGGCTAGCGGAGAGGCAGCCGCCAACTCCAAGAAGATACCCAAGTGGTTCAAAATGGGTAAGTCAAATAAGTCAATCTATTAGCTCTGTGCATTCCCCATTGAGGGCGATGTGTGGTTTGTAAAGGATGTGGACACACTTTGACATCCCGTTAGCATGCACTTTTATGTACTGGTCACACACAACTCCCTGACAGCACTTCGTAAACTCTGTATCAAAGTAACAAAAGAAAATACAGTGGATTGCCTCCTTTAACAAACGCTAATGTAAAACGGTGTGCATCAGTGGGTAAGCAAATTTGCCCAGAACCAGGCGTTCACCATGTCTTGTCTAAAAACCTTTGAATAATTCAATGTGTTTGCATGGCTGTGCATGCAAATTCTGTGGCATAAATCTGAGCCGGGGACTAGGGGATGGAGGTTGATTTCAGTAAAAATAAATTGAAGCTATGGAAAATTTGACATGCTGGGGGGAGGAGAATTGCTGAACACCATGTGACACCAAGGGATGCTGTTTTCCATACAGACATCTTATGTATACTTACGCCCCTAAGCCTTACATCACTAGCCGCATGTTTGAAGCTTTTATATGCTTTTAATCTCTTTTTAATTCTGCTGAGTACAGTTTTATTGTTGAGAATTTGGATAAGTACCACAAAATAATCATGCTTCTCTCACCACAAGAAGGTGGGGGATGAACTAACAGCCCCCCTTTTTGGCTGTTAACCCATCTCTGCTCAGCAATTGTTGTCATTGACCTAGCAAATATCTGTGCCAAGCCATTCCATGTAATTGGCAGATGCCACAATTGATTCTACTATGTCCATTGCAAGTTACGTCTGCCACTCTTGATGATGACGGCGCGTCACCGTTGTGACGGTCGACAACAAATTGAAAATGGGCTTTTCTCATTTGCTCTTCTTCAAACAGGGAAAAGGTGAAAGACTCATGTGTGCTTCATCTCAGATGGAATAAGTACAAATTATGATCATCTATTATTTAAATAAATGGTATCATTCACTAAGTATCAATTGATGCAAACAAACCGTTTGTTTGATAGATAATATGTGCTTTTGGTATGCAGTGTCTAAAGATTATTATCTTACAACTGTTCATACAACCGTATGTTCAGTTTTGTTCTGCAGACTTCCATCAGTGCAATCTGTGAACTTCATGCCGATGGAAACAGGTGATTGTTGTAAAGTATCTTGCTCATGAACATAAGCCCATGACTCCTGTCGGAGTTTGAAACCACAGATGTACCGGCACCACTGCAGACCTGTCAATCACTAAACTGAGCATAGCACTCTTTGCATACATTTACATCTAAGTCTTGTCAAGCCTGATTTATTTTCCCAATTTTTATTATTTAGAACAAAAGCATACCATTAAGGCTTTGTTTCAAATGAAAAGCATTTTCGGTTCAGAAATTGAAATGATTTCAAAGAGCCCAAAACAGTTTTGTCCAGCAAATCGTCAACTTTGATGAAAATAAAAACAGTGGGTTTAATTTTTAAAAAAAAGGTTGGTTTTGAGTTTTCTTCGGTTACAATGTTTTTGGAGGTACCATGTAAACTATGTAAAACAGTCACCATGGCGACAAGTCATAATATGTGACTTTGTTCACAGTTTTTTCTCCTTAAATACCAGTCTGTGTTCCTTCAAAATACAAATGTACGTAGTCTTTGAAATGCAATCAAAGTATATGCACGCAAATGGTTCTAATTGACATGTAGCTTGGGGGACAAAAGTCAATATTAAGATTAACAAGTGGTTTCTGGTTTATTTCTCAAACATTTAGATTGGAAAAAATGACATCACTGTGCCACAGCTTTGAGGAGGGTCTTGTAGCTTTTGCAATAAAACAAGCCGACTGAAATTTCTGAATTTTTGTTGCCGTTTTCTTTTGATGTTTTCAATTAATTGAATTAAATGTAACAATCTTTAAAACACAGTAATCATTGCTGAGCAGTTTTAGGCATGTAAATTTAGTAATTTTAGTAGTGGTAAGGAATTTTTTTTCTATACAAATGGCATTGTCCGACAAGGGATAAGTTTTTTTCTGCGTGATCAAACTTTGAACCTGGCTGCATGCCAATTCAGTCAATGAAAACTGGCGACAACGCAGGTGGACTTTCACCGTTTATTTTGGCTGCGTGAGGAGGGATTGCGACACGAACGAGATTGTTTCTGCCGAATCAGGGTACCTCCACCCTGGAACTTTTAGGATTGAGCTGGTATCAGTATCCATTCATTATTTTCTCCAAAAGTTTGCCGCTCCCTAAAGTTTGTTCACTTGTTTTGCTTTTGTAGAATTGACTGTAATGAGACGTGGAACCCCGAAAGTTAACTCGGTCAAAAGATAAGCTGTTGTTGATTCAGTGACATAGTCAACATTCTGTTGCATTAATAGTGCATTATGTTTTCTTTCCAAGCACTGTCTCTAGTCTGTGTTTTAACCCCTTCGCTTCGGGAGATGGCAAGAGACGCGGCTTTGTGTGAGGATTAGTGCATCTCACACATACAGTCTATTCACCACGCAGCTGCTGGTTCAATGGGGCCTGCTGCTGGACAAAGCCCTCCATTCGGGGCATACCACAGCCAAGCAGTCACGGTCAAAGGAACTACCAGCGCGAAGGGGTTAAGAGACGCTTGCTTGCAGACTGACATCTGTTACATTCTTGCAAACCTATGATTACTCGTGCAAGACAACGTTTTAAGGAAAGTGACTTTGAAATGGCTCTTATTGGTTGATACACACTGTGTTGCATAAAATATGGAGCACATAGCAGAGTAGGACGGCGGACTGTGATACTCAGACAACTGCATGAAAACATTTTCAAAACATCCTTATCATAACTAATTTTTGTTGGAACTTTTCCAAACCAACCCTCCAAAATCCTCCACTTTGCGTATTGTTGGTACTTATGACTACAAGTTGTTACATAGTAAATCTTTTTTATAAGTATGAAAAATTTGCAAGTTTCGGTGTGCTACTGTTGGAGGAGAAGCTCTGACAAACATCCTTGTGTGCAAATTCAGAATGGGGACGTACAACTTTTGTTTTGGTCCATTTGAACAAAATTAGAATCACTTGAATTTTTGGATCACATTTCACTTTCCACTTGAAATGCATCACAACAAAAAAGTGGTTTGAGAATGAAATCTGAAGGAAAATGTTACAAGTTCTTCCACCGATATGGCCGCTTGCTCTAGTTGGCACGTTTGCAGTCATGTGCGCAATATGTCCATAAGAGCCATGCGTGATAAGAAGACACTCCTGGCCTCAGTGTGAGCCAATCATCATTCCAATTATCTCGACCTTTGCTCTCTGTAATCTCTTGGACATGTCTATTGTGGCGATTGCATCAACATATCCGTTCATTTACGTGGTCCTTTCAATCTGGCCTAGTTAAATATTATTCAAGGCAGTTAGACTTTTGGTGAAGATTAAGATGCAATCCGTGATAACGTCACATGGGCTGGGGCCAGGCCCTTCGCCTGAGGTACCCCAGTGGTCAAACTGTAAATGGTAGATGTAGTGATGCTGCTTTACGACACAGACACAGGAGGACAAGTTATGACGGTGCGTGTTACGTCTCTGTAGTTGGTGAGTATTGAATGCACATTTTTAGAACTTCTTAACCTTTTAACATTTGCGTTCAATATTTCAAATTTATGCCCTCTCTTTTAGACTGAGGAGAAATATAAATGCATTTTATTCAGCGGGTAGTTAGGCCTGGAGGAATTAAAGGGAAGCAAGTGAGGCTCCCTATCTGTGTGACAAAAAATCCAGTCAGGGGGTATAAACCAATAGCTTGATTATAACTTTGTCAGTGAATAGGGCTTGAAAATCTGCCGTTTTAAAGGAACTTGTAGGGCTTGTTCCCTTTCACTGACTGTCAAAGGCAGAGTTTGAGTTGAGGTTAGGCTGTCGGTCGATTACTTCTCACCAACTTGCACTCACTTTTGTGATCAAACTATTTTGTAAACATCCCATTACCACCCCTATTTTCTGCTGGTTGCACTGTTTGGTGCTTTAATGGTCTCTGCCACTGTTTCTTACATAGTTACATTCATGTCATTAACTTCCTCTTTACTGAATTACTCAAAAGGCTACTCATAATCACTGATGCAACCAATGTGCCCTGAGCGATGCTGGTCAAATTTCCCTCACAGAGTAGAGGAGGACATGAGTTTAAAAATGGGATTTCAAGGCTCACGCGCTGTGCGTGTGATTGAGGTTTGAAACAAAATACAACCCAAAGTTTGGTGAACTTCCCTATAATTAGCGGTCTGGGTCAAACTTTGCTTGAACTGAAAGTAAACAAATCCCAAAGTTTATTGGCCTCTTCCACTGAACCATTCGTCGTGTACCTGGGAGAAGGGTGTAAGTGCTTATGCCCTTTTGCCGGGAAGCATGATCACTGCAAAAAACTTTTTTTCTGGCAAAATGACCTACGTATGCAACTGTGTTATTTTAATGAAAATAAAGATTTCTTTGCAAAAAGTTTTAAAAATTTCTCAAATCATTTGATAAGATGTTCAAAGGTTGCTTTTTGTACAGCCTATGTTGATTTTGAAGTAAATTTTTTTCTGTTTTTACTAAATAAAGAGAGTGTGTTTTTTTACACCCTTTTAAATTTGCCGGGAGCATTTTTTCTGCTGTGATCATGCTTCCCAGCAAAAGGGTGTAAGTACACTTGCGACCTTTTGCAAGTTACATGACGCATTAGTGATTGGTAAAATGACCGGAATGTTCAAAGTGCAGTTGTTCATCATCAGGGAATTTGAATACTGAATAGATAGCACTTATGAGTCAACAGCCCTCTTTTTGCTGTTTACCTTTGTCATTTTTTGAAGGAGTTGTGCAAACATTGCCCAGTGGAGGTTTATTTACCCGCATACATACACAAGCAATGTGTTTTACAACACAGACGAGCATCATCTTTATCAGCAATGGAAAAATCTCCGTAGATCTCAAATTATCGCATTGCTGCATAAGCTGCCTGTGACTTAGGTTTTGAAACCAAGACAAACTCTGGACATATAAATAATTTGAATTTATCCTTATTACAACAAATGCTATTTCTGTCACCGGTTGCCACCAAATAACTTTCCAAAATGCCAGAGGTCCGATTTGCATTTCGCAAGTGATCGTTTCATGAGTGATTAGAAGAAAGTGTAGTTTTGCTGGAATTTGTCATCGGAATTTGGTGAGATTTAGTGAGATGGAAATTTGGGTAAGGCTTTTTACAACAGTATTCCAAAAGAGACCTTTTCCTTTTTTTTCTTTCTCTCTCTTTTATTGTACTCAAACATTGTTTAAGGTGCACAGTAGAAAACAAAAAAATAAAAAATGTACTTTCAAAATGTATATACAATTACCTTGAATAACACCTTGATTAAGTTTACCTGTAGGCTTTTGGTCATATGTTCTGTCCAGGTATTCCATTTTCTCCCACATAAATGTATGTGCAGTTTTCCAGGCTCAATTTCAACTATAAACCTATGTATACACCTTAAAAATCTGCATATGTGACTGAGGAGGACCCCACCACAATGAAGGCTCATTTTGTGTACACTAATACCCCTTTCCTTCAGTCCTTCCTAGACTTTCCAAAAGCTGATTGCATTTGTCTCATTAGTGCATCTAATGGCACGGCCAAATTGCATCATGCCTCTATTCATGGCTATCATTTCTCATGCCCTTAATACTGTGTACATTACTTCTAGACATGATACTTAGTAGTTGTTTGGAAAATGAGATATGGTGAGATATGACTCTGAAAGCCGCACACGGTTACAGCTACCAGAATTAATCACCTTAATCATTACAAAGTTCTGTTGGTCGAGGAGTCTGTAAATATTTTCAGCATCGTATTCGTTTTTACAATGAATAGTTATTCACAGCTGATTGAAATGTACTGCAGTTATCCTTCTCCGATGTAGATTTGATAAGCTCTGTATTCTCTGCGGTTTCTGAAGTCTTGCACAAAAAAGCAAGTAAAGATTGTCGAGACAGAAAAAAATAACAAATTTGTGACCTCTTATCTTGCACACTTGCAGAAAATCTAGCAGTTTGTTTTGTGGCAAAAACCACTGAAAGGGGAGGTCAAAATGATAGGATTTTGGCCTAAATCCCTGGTCAAAAGTCGTTTCATTTTACAAGTAATTCAGATAGCAGAAAAGCTGAAGGCAAAACAAAACAAAAACAAAAAAATAGCAAGAATAAGTGGCATGGCCATGTGGCCTGTCAATGAATGATAAATTGAATTTGCCGATGGTAACTCCTTTTTACCATTTGGACGTGTGCAATCATTTCATATTAAAATCCTCCCTGTTAGACTAGCGTTATGATTATCTCAAATAACCTTAGAAATGGCAAAACTTATTAAAAAAAAAAAGAAAAAAATCATAATATTTTGATTCTTTTCCTTACAGACGCTATTCACAAAATGTGACTTACTACACAGTACGTTGACAGCTCAGATGCTACATTCTGCATGGTGAACTAAACAGGCCATAAACTACCTTGTTTAAAAACCACAGAATTCAACACCAATTTATGTTTTACACACCGCAGGAATTTCCTGTTTGATATAGATAATATATATACTTGTAAACAGTTCGCCATTGATGTAGCGTAGTTTGAAATTGTTCGGAAGAACCCAAGAAATATCAGTACAAGATGGGCAGAACTTGGAACCAGTTCCTGCTACTGTTCTGGAAGAACTGGACTCTTCAGTCACGCAAGGTCATCCTGACTATCTTCGAGATCCTGATCCCATTGATCTTTGCCGCTCTTTTGCTCATCATACGCTCGTACGTGGAATTCACGCAATACGAGTCCCCGATTGTGTACGGCTCCTTTAGCGTGGACTCTCTTCCCTCGACGCTTCTGCCACCGAATGTGACAAACTCCACCCTGCCGCCATACTATTGGAAGATCGCCTATGCGCCTAGAGGAAAAGCGGCTGATGATATCATGGACAAGGTCGTTGAGAGCTTGACAAATGATTTTCCCACATTACGACCTGTGCAATTAGAGAAAGGTAAGTAAGACTTGATAAGTTTTGGGCCTTTGTTTTTTAGAAACAAAACTCTTTGACTCCTCATCCCTTTTGGAAAAAGCAGTTTTCATCAGCACAAACGAGTTTTAGTTATCTTCATCTCAAATATTTCATTTTCTTTAACCAGTTAACGTCATATTTTCTTACCTGAAAAACTGCTAGGGTCGTTTTTTTCCCCGTAAATTCTTCAACCTTGCAATTGCACTTTGACCCAACCAAGCACGGCACATTAATATGTTAACCGCAGAAATGAAAAAAAGAATTCTAAAACGAGTGTACACGTCCTTCGTGGAACAAATAAGGAAAATTATGTGTGTTTACACGTCATCCAGTGTCAAGTTGTTAAAGTAATGATCACCCATCCATTGCTATACATGTTGGTATCTGACGCAACTGTGTGAAATTCCAAGGTAGCTTTGATTACATAAAATGGTCCGAGTTGTTGAGTACATTTTCGAGATTTTTTTTGATAATGTAAAAATTAACAAATTTCTTCCTCTCTTCTGCCCAGCAATCGGCTTTGACACTGAAGAGGAACTTCTTGCAGTCATGAAGCTCGCCTCCTCCGAGAACATCCTCGGCGGCATCATCTTCAAGAGCGGTTTCCCTGACAACGGTGAGGGCATCCCGGCCAACTTGACCTACAGCATCCGCATGAGGAACTCGATGAGGAACATGGAGAAGCAGAGTAGCTTCATGACCCAGTGGCAGACACAGTCACTGTTCCCGTTCTACCAGCTGCCGGGGCCCAGGAACAAAGATGACATGTATGGTGGAGTACCAGGCAAGTCTGAGTCTTGAAAAGCTCTATCAGAGGCCGATGTTGCAGAACCAAGCACAGTGACTTATCAAGCCCTAAAAATGCCTTCGTAGTAAAAGTTGGTCACCGGTTAAACTGCCATGCAATATACTTTTTTGAGACTTGCTCCTAGCTGATTATTGGCTAGCACCAAAAATTCCTAAGTAGAATTTTCTGTCTAGCTGTATAAAATTGACACAGATGGTCAGTTTTGATAACAGGATCCAAATGACGTATTTTGGTAGTGATAGCATTGTGGTTAGCCCCTTATGTGAAAAAAGCCTTACCGCTTGTGCTCAGCACTCAAGCACAAATCTTATTGTTAGCAATATTCTTTTGACAGTAAGCAGATCCTTGAAGTTGGTCCCTGAGGTATTCAAAGCTCAAATTTAAAAAGTCTGACCTGGTAATCATAACAGATTGAATGGAAGAATAAGTGAGATGTGGATTGGCAGAGCAGAAAGGTGCTCCTTGCATGTGAGTAGCGAGAACAAAAAGAAGCTGATTCCACATGGAAAAGAGAGAGTATAAAGTTAGTCGCTTAAAGGAGCACTGCAGGCTTAGAGTTGTGTGTCATCAACAGGTTACTACCGCGAGGGATTCTTAGCACTGCAGTATGCCGTAGACATGGCCATACTTCGAGCCAACGGAGTGACCCCTAACCATGTGACCCTGATGCAACGCTACCCCTACCCTCCGTACTTCGATGACACTTACGTGGCTGTGCTGCAGACCACCTTGCCTGACCTGATCATGGTCAGCCTGGTGCTGGTGGCCCTGGGCATTGCCAAGAATGTGGCCTATGAAAAGGAGAAACGACTGAAGGTAAGGTCAATTTGTGGAAAAGTGGTCCATGTTGTATTCAAGGCTGATACAAAACCAGTCACAAAGCCAGTCACAAGACCAGACCAATAGTGAGGCACAAAACCATTCATAAGACTAGTTCCAAGACCACTCATAGGGCCAGTCACAAGACCAGACACAAGACCAGACACATGACCAGTCACAAGACCGATCATGAGACCATTCAAAAGACCATTCATTAGACCAGTCACAAGACCAGACAAGACCACTGTCAAGTAACAGGGTGGACCGTAACAGGAATGCTTTTGTTGCAGTTCATTACATAGCTTGTGATGTGAATTCAGACTGAAGATGTGGTGTCGGTCTTATGAGATCTTGTGGAAGTCTTAAAGGGTCTCGACTTCAACACAACCATTGGTCGAATTTTCCTGATGAACTATGATACAAAATATATCCTGGGTAACAGGCAACATTGATCAGTGCTTTAACTTGGCCATAATTTTTCTATGACATTGGGCTATGGGCTTTGCTTCTCTTGAGGCAAATGATCAGTGGCACTCAGTACCAGTGTGGTATTTAAGTCCTTTGCAAGTCCCTGTAAGTCCATCACAAGTTATCCAGTCTTTAGCCAATTCACAAGCTAATCAAGTGAGCTGTGACAAAAGCATTCTGTTGTCATTGTGATGGGACTTGTGACTGGCCTTGTGAAGGGACTTCTGACTTGTCTTGTGAAGGGACTTGTGACTGGCTTTGTGAAGGGCTTGTGAAGATACTTGTGACTGGCCGTGTGAAGGGACTTGTGACGGGATTTGTGAATGGACTTGTGACGGGTCCTGTAAAGGGACTTGTGAAGGGTCTTATGAAGGGTCCTGGGAAGGGACTTGTGACTGGTCTTGTGACGGGTCCTGTGAAGGGACTTGTGAAGGGTCTTATGAAGGGTCCTAGGAAGGGACTCGTGACTGGCCTTGTGAAGGGACTCGTGACTACACTTGTGGAGGGTCCTGTGAAGGGAGTTGTAAAGGGACTTTGACTGGCCTTGTGAAGGGACTTGTGACTGCACTTGTGAAGGGTCCTGTGAAGGGATTTGTGAAGGGACTTGTGAAGGGACTTGTGACTGGATATGTGAAGGGACTTGTGACTGGACTTGTGAAGGGTCCTGGGAAGGGATTTGTGAAGGGTCCTGGGAAGGTACTTGTGACTGGCCTTGCTAAAGGACTTGTGATGGATAGCCCTGATTCAAGTTGGGATCTTCTGTGGCATTGTCTGCCTTTATGCTTTAGATATGGAGGCCGCACGTCGTTATTGGCTTCGGGGCCCTCTTATTACTGTGAGTTCAGAAATCCCGACTTGATGAACCTGCCAGCTGTTTGTACGCAGCAAATCAGCTCATGTACCAAAAAAGGTAGCAGCCAATCAAATTGCTGGGCTTGTTTTTACATTGTTCATACCTCTATTATAATGAACAAGTCTACAAGTCTGACTACTTTCATTGGCGGAAATCCCACATACATTATACAAGATCATGTCATTCATATGCAATTATGAATAACTACATACCACCGACTGGGGGTCTGATTGGCTTATCCGCCAAGTCAGACTTACTGACTGGTGACACACACAATCTTTGACGATGACGCCAGATATCACAAAAAAGTTATCAAGAGAGGGTGCCTTCTAAGAAGTTATGTTGGCAGCCAAGCGCGACGACCGTGTACTGCACATTATGTGAAGGGATGGCTGGTGCTGACTGGGGAAGGTAAGTCCGACTTGATTCAAGTCTACACTGCTCAGTACAACAGATCACTCGTCATGCGTAACGTAAGAACAGCGCCTGATGCTTTGCAATTTGGTTCCCTCTCCAGGAAGCCATGAAGATGATGGGCCTGGCCAACTGGGTGCACTGGCTGGCCTGGTTTGTCAAATACTTCATCTACCTCACTATCACCATCTCGCTCATGACGCTGATGTTTTGCGTCAAGGTCGGCAACCTCCACGCTGCGGTGGTGACCCACAGTGACCCCTCGGTCATCTTCGTCTTCCTGATGCTCTACGCAATGGTCAGCATCATGTATAGCTTTGCAGCCAGTGCTCTGTTCTCCAAAGGTATTTTGAATGGACGGAACGTCATACCTTCTGGAAACTGATTCGTTCTTGGCACAAAAGGCAACACGAACATGAAATGTTCTCTTTTGCGAAATTTGGCTGAGGAAGCACAGATGTTGCAAAGCATTGTGGAAACGCACATTCAGCGTTACACAATAAAGGTTTAGTTGACCAATGCAAAATCAGAACAAAATCTTTCCACACCAATGAGGCCCGTCATTGCATGTTGATCTCCTGCGTCTTTGGCATAAAAATCACTTGGAATATTTCTGTTCTGTCCTGGATGGGATGCCACTCCCTCACAGGTTACTCGTTAGGTAATGCCGGTACCCATTTAAAGTCTGTAATGAAGGGAGGCAAGTTAGGGTAAAGTGGCTTGCTCAAGACTACCAGCCCATTATTCATTGTGATGTTTGTAATTGTGCAAATTACCTCAAGTTTAAGAACGCATGTGGCATGCAGAGGCCCTTCTAGTGAGTTTCTACCACATTGACTGTGTTTCCTCTATTTGTTCTACAGGTTTGTTATATCTCAAAGTCAAGTAATTTTATATTTACCTTTATATTTATATTTGTCCGCTCTTCTGGCCAGCTAACTCTGCAGCTGTTGCTGCCGGTGTGTCATGGTTTATCACCTACATGCCTTACTACTTCATCATGCTGTTCTACCAGAGGATGACGCTGCCAGGCAAGATAGCCTCCTGCCTGCTGTCCAACACTGCCATGGGGCTGGGAACGCAGCTCATCGCAATCTTTGAAGGCACAGGTATGCTGGATCCTGGACGCTCTCTGGTTCGTGTCTGAATTGACCGGCTGTGGCTTGGTGCATTGTGCTAGTCTGTGGGGAATGGTTGAAGCTGCTAGCCTAGTGGCTTCCATTGGGTTATAAGTTATTTGCAGTGAAAGCCATAACTATTTCACTGGGCCTTACTGTGAATAAAACGAATGGGTGTCTCTACTGGTCTGCTAATAAATGTGTTAGTCGTATGTGTATTTATGGTTTAGTGCTTTGATTCTGTGAGGCATGCATCATGTATCAAAAACTAAACCACTTTTGCCTTATGTGAAACTATTAAATAGGAAATGGTTGATTCTACCATCATCCAGCATAGGTTCAGTAATCTATAGAGGGTTTGCATGGCTGCCATCTTGCAGACCAGTGCTTTTGTTCCACAGGGTATGCACAAAGGAGCTTTCCCTGCGGAACAAAAGAACCACCCTGCATGATGGCTACCAAGCAAACCTCTACTCCATGTTAAAGAGAAAAGTTTTTTTCATCTTGAAACTGCAATCTTATTGGTGCTTTCTGCTTTCTTTGGAAAGATTTCAAATTAACTAGCTTTTAAGATGTATCTTCTTTATTTGTGTTACATTTTCACCTTGCAAACAATGGTGCATGTATGACCCATTCAATAAATTAAACAGAATCCTTCGCAATATATAAAAGTTGGAACCTCCAACATTTTTCACCCTCATATTGTCAGTTTTCCGCAAAGATGGCAAACTGAGTGATACATCAAACAATGAGCTCAAGTGCTCTTTCTAATGCAAAGTATAACAGAATAACTGGAAATGGCCTCAAATTCATTTTGTGAAATCTAGTTGTGCATTATTAGAAGTCCCGCGTCAACAATTTTTTTCTCAAAAGGGGAAGGCGTCCAGTGGAGTAATGTCCACAGACCAGTGTCGGTGGACGATGACTTCACAGTGCTACACGTTATGCTGATGATGGTAGCGGATATTATAATCTATGGCATCTTCACGTGGTATGTGGAAGCTGTGTTTCCGGGAGAGTACGGCGTTCCGCAAGGATGGAACTTCTTCTTAAAGGTAATTTGAGGAATTGTATTGGCTACTACCAATTATTTACAGCGCAATCAAAAGGAGCATGTTTTTATATCGACAGGTCTTTCAAGAGTAAGGCACCTGACTCTGCACCTGCTAGAACATGTTCATTGCTTGTGGGTTGGCGTACGGCCACGCTAATAGGGCTGACTTTATACACGCATATTTATGAATGACCTACAACATGCCTCATTTTGAGCGTGCCCTGTTGAAATACCAAACTTGTTTTCATTGAGATATACCAGCTGAAGCAGTGTGCGTACTTGGTGGGAAAATGAAACGTCGGCTTGTGACTTTGTGTTTTCAGATTAAATATTCCTGGAAATTTGGAAAATTGCAAAAGTTCAATTTTGCAAAAGTTCAATGTATTCCAACAAATGCACAAAAAATGTTCTGCGGCGTCAAATTCACTTTGTTTCCACGTTTGCCTGAAATTTGAACCAGCCTGAAGCGTGTTCTTGTGCCAGTCGCCCAGCCAACACAATCAGCCCAGCATATCAATGTCTACCCAATAGCACAATCATTCGACCTTTTCCTTTAGCCGTCCTATTGGTGCGGGACACCCGTCGTCACAGAGGCAATCAACACCGACAGTTTTCCGATGGAGGTCCGGTCAGCCAATGAAGGGTTTTTTGAGGAGGAACCGTCAGGCATGCAAGCCGGGTTGCAAATTAGAAACCTGACCAAGGTATGACATGCACAGATCCTCTGAGCATTCCACGGGAAAAATATGTTAAATACATTGCCAAATGTTCAAACCAAAAATAAGAAAAATTCAGATGATTAAATAAATATCTCCAATCAGACAACCATTTAGGTCATACAGATATTTGACCACCTCAGGCCCCACCCCTTCAAACTTGAAATTTAGACAACTCTGAGGAAATCCAATTACCGTGGTGACACGTCACTCAGATATGTGTTGCATAGATTCTCAACTTGAGACATACATGTGTTTTCGGCCCCCCAGAAAGTTTGCTCCTTTTGGGTAGCCATGGCCCCCTGGATCTTGCCAGTGAATCAAAAACAAACAATCTCACATCGTACAAACATAAAAAATATCACCATAGAATTTCTCTACAGATATTCTCCAAGAACAAAGCGGCTGTCAACGGCATCTCCCTGAACATGTACAAGGGCCAGATCACGGTCCTGCTGGGTCACAACGGGGCGGGCAAGACCACCACCATGTCCATGCTGACCGGCTTCATCCCGCCCTCGGCAGGCACTGCCTTCCTCAATGGCTGCAGCATCAGGGGTAACTTGGAAGGTGTCCGGTCTAGCCTTGGACTCTGCCCACAGCATGATGTCTTATTTGACGACCTGACCGTGGAGGAACACCTGTACTTCTTTGGGAAAGTGAGTGATGCATATTAATGAGCTGATACTCTTTGTCTCATTGGCCAGAATTTCACACTTAGCGGCATACATATTTATGTACTCATACTTTAACATCATTGGCCTAAAATATACATATCTACTGTATGAGTTTATTATACTTTATTATCATTGGTCAAAATTATGTATGCACATGTATTAGCTGAAATACTTTCATGTTGGGGGGGGGAATGCATTTGCATGCATATTTTATTATTGGCCAAAATTTCACATGTTGGACATTGTCTGTATGAAAAATTGTAGGCAATGTACATTGCTCTCAAGCGGTTCCCAACTGAGTTTTGCTCTGCAAGTAAAGTTTCCTAGCAAATCATTTCTGCTTAGAAGCTTTATGAAATGTGGGTCCATATTGTCTAATGAAGCCAAAATACTGGTTTAAGTTTCAATCAAACTTACGTATATTGTACTATACTCAAGCGTCACTTCCCTGTTTACCAAATATTAGACTCCAGTGAAACAGAAATAATAAAATACTCTTCTTTGAATAAAATGCGTTCATTAATGTTGGACATGTCAAGACAGGGATACTTGTGTTCTGTCCCCGATAGAGACTCTCAGCAAAGTTATGAGAAGTTAAATGGTTTTATTTGTGTACCATTGTGAAAATTTCTCCTTGATATTGAAAAACTTTTCAGACAATGCCAGATCTCTTTTATTTTCATTTTTTTAATGCAGCTATGTATTTGTCCAATTTTCTTCAATGTACTCTTGCATATTAACATGTCTGAATTTGTTTACTGTTGAGTTATTCAACTGTTTAGTATAGCTTTAAAACTAATGACATTTTTATAATTACACTGTACTTTTGATTCAAGCTGAAAGGTCTGACATCCTCCGAAGTCAAGAAAGAATCAGATCACTACATTGAGGCAACCGGCCTGCAAGACAAGAGGAAACAGTACGCCAAATCTCTGTCTGGAGGAATGAGGCGCAAACTGTCGGTTGCCATTGCTCTGATCGCAGACTCCAAGGTAGGATGTTTTTAATGAGCTTACAACCGACCTTTCTAGGGCTGCATCCGAATCTGTTGTTTATAGCTAGGTCTAGGTCTTTACTCCTTCAGAAATACGCGGAGACTCACAGACAATAGACCAAGCCGTAGCTCTTGAAGCCCGTTTCGGACATGGCCTAGATTTGGTGTTGTTTGAAAGTGGTTCAAAGGTGGGTGCATCATGGGATCTGTTTCAATAAAGAATAAGGGGCAAGCCATACAAGGTAGGCTCATAGTCATGGGCCCAATTTNCTCGGCTCTACTAAGCACATGATTATATGCTAATGGAGGCACTGGGTATTTCATTGAGACCATAAGCAGTCAGCTTGGTATAAAGCATGCTCACCACAGGGAAAACATATGCTTAACATAGTGACAAAACAATTTAATCTCTTTAAAGGAGGTGACCGTAACCACAACCAGGCTATGAACCACAATGAAATAGTGCTCAAGAGTAGCAAATTTGTCTGCTTTTGTAAGCACAACTTTTCTGCTAACTGCTAAGCAGCTCCATGAAATTGAACCCTGGTGCATCACCAGTGAGGGGGTATTGAAAACGGCAAGGTCCAGACTTATAGTTAGTTGCATTCTATTGCATTTTACTGAAGCTTTCATTGCAACCATCATGGTTTTTGTTGCATTTGGAGAACGTGCTGTGAGAAAACATGCAGAAGGTAGAGGTCAGTGGATTAAAAAAAGGACTGGTCAGTGGTTGAACTATAGTTGGTGCTTCAGCTTGCCCTGGGATGTAGAAAATTCACTGTTTCTCCCAAAGGTGGTGATGCTGGACGAGCCGACATCGGGCATGGACCCAGATGCCCGTCGATCAACCTGGGACCTGCTGGAGACCCACAAGGCTGACCGGACTATCCTGCTGACCACCCACCACATGGACGAGGCTGATCTGCTGGGTGACCGCATCGCCATCATGGACCACGGGGAGCTGCAATGCTGTGGCACATCGCTCTTCCTCAAGAAGAAATATGGTGAGGACAGTGTATTCGCTTAGTGACTATTTAGGAGTGCAGAGGTGAGAATAATCTCCAGAGGTGACATATGGAATGTTCTATTCCATAAGATAGAAATGGAACAGTCCATTTGTCTGTGAATGAAATGCAGTGTCAGAGGTCTCAAGGCCAATTTTTGAAAGCCTTGGCCTCGCTACGTAATGACTTGGTCTTGGCCTTGGCTGAGTCACCCTCTAGACTCAAAGAATCAGTTGAGGCCAGTTCGAGGCAGACCCGTTTTGAGTGAGTGGTCTCAGCTTTTACTTCCCCCCCCCAAATTTATAATTTTACCGTAATGTGGACATGCTGTGGACATGGATCATTTTTGTGTACAAACACGTGGTACAGTACTGTAACAAACGCCTCCGGTGCCTGAGGACTCCGCCGGAGCATGCANTTCAGCTCTACTAAGCACATGATTATATGCTAATGGAGGCTCTGGGTATTTCATTGAGACCATAAGCAGTCAGCTTGGTATAAAGCATGCTCACCACAGGGAAAACATTTGCTTAGCATAGTGACAAAACAATTTAATCTCTTTAAAGAAGGTGACCGTAACCACAACCAGGCTATGAACCGCAATGACATAGTGCTCAAGAGTAGCACAACTTTTCTGCTAACTGCTAAGCAGCTCCATGAAATTGAACCCTGGTGCATCACCAGTGAGGGGGTATTGAAGACGGCAAGGTCCAGACTTATAGTTTGTTGCATTCTGTTGCATTTTACTAAAGCTTTCATTGCAACCATCATGGTTTTTGTTGCATTTGGAGAACGTGCTGTGAGAAAACATGCAGAAGGTCAAAGGTCAGTGGATAAAAAAAACTGGTCAGTGGTTGAACTAAAGTTGGTGGGATGTAGAAAATTCACTGTTTCTCCCAAAGGTGGTGATGCTGGACGAGCCGACATCCGGCATGGACCCAGATGCCCGTCGATCAACCTGGGACCTGCTGGAGACCCACAAGGCTGACCGGACTATCCTGCTGACCACCCACCACATGGACGAGGCTGATCTGCTGGGTGACCGCATCGCCATCATGGACCACGGGGAGCTGCAATGCTGTGGCACATCGCTCTTCCTCAAGAAGAAATATGGTGAGGACAGTGTATTCGCTTAATGACTATTTAGGAGTGCAGAGGTGAGAATAATCTCCAGAGGTGACATATGGAATGTTCTATTCCATAAGATAGAAATGGAACAGTCCATTTGTCTGTGAATGAAATGCAGTGTCAGAGGTCTCAAGGCCAATTTTTGAAAGCCTTGGCCTCACTACGTAATGACTTGGTCTTGGCCTTGGCTGAGTCACCCTCTAGACTCAAAGAATCAGTTGAGGCCAGTTCGAGGCAGACCCGTTTTGAGTGAGTGTTCTCAGCTTTTACTTCCCCCCCCCCAAATTTATAATTTTACCGTAATGTGGATATGCTGTGGACATGGATCATTTTTGTGTACAAACACGTGGTACAGTACCTTGACTCCCTAATGACGCGATGCAGCTAAATGAATTTTTATCCCCAGGAACCATACTTGTTTTCATTGATTGTTGCACGAAAAGGATAGCTTTTGTGTTGGTGAATTAGGCTACATTTATTCATTGAAAGCTCATCGTGATTTTCCGAACTGTCCAGCATTGGGCATGCATGTACAATAGCCGGTCAACATTTGCATGTGATCGCTTCGCATGTGCCATCGTGCATGGTGTGGGTTGGACATGTCGTGTCGACAAGGACTGCCTTTTTATATGCCATGTATTCATGGTTAGCATAAAGTGCCATTTTTAGTGGTTTTCAAGAGAAATTACTTGTTTCATAATTTTTGGAAGCACTCCCGACTTTTTTCTTTCATTTCTTTTTTATTGAAATGTGGTTACATTCACTCAAAATTTAAGCCTTGCTTTCTCGCGATCTTGTTTTTATAATTGAAAATTTTGAGAAATCATTTTGTGAGGAATTGTATGTACTGAGAGCAATTAAAATATTTTATATTTTCCTCTTTTGTAATGGTGGGGAGACTCGGTACTCTCACTTTGTTTGAAAGAAATATAAAAACTGAGCTTTGCAACACCTGCCAACAAGAGGTCATTATGCCCATTCGATTTTGTTTACCAGGTTATTTACAATATTAAACCGAAAATAACTAATCAGTGAAACACAATACTTGGTTATTTTTCTCAGACAAAAATAAGAAGGGATATTGTGTCACGTACAACAGTTTTTTGTGAATCGTGTGTGCCTGCCAACAGTGCCAAAAGTATTTTAGAGAAAAGTTACCTGTGATGTAGATGATCATGTTATACTGGTACATGTATGTGTGTAGTAACTGGCCTTGGCCTCGCAAACTATGACTTCGGCCTTGGCCTCCAATGGCTGTGATCCGGTCTTGGCCTTGGCCTCAAAGGTTGTGGACTTGACTCCAACATTGATAAAGTGATTCTTCCCATTGCCCGCAAGTGAAGTATTTAAAAGTTTTATGCAGCACCTGAATAACTTTCATAAGTTGCAAGATTTATGATATTTCATGGCAGAAATTTTTGCCTTTTCTATTGATGTGCATCACAAGCTACATGTGATTACGTAATGATGCAGGTATTTTCTAGCAATCAGGAATCTCTTTGAGATGACTGTAAAAACTTCTGTTGGATTTTGATAACGAGTGATTTTTTTTCTCTTTTTGTGTCCAAGGTGTTGGTTATCACATGGTCATGGTCAAATCTCCGCAATGTGATGTCGCAAAGGTCTCCAACCTGATTCATTCCTACATCCCGAGTGCCGCACTGGAGAGCGACGTCGGAGCAGAGCTGTCTTTCATCCTGCCCAATGAGGCTTCAGACAAATTCGAAGGTCTTTTCACCGAGTTGGAAGAGAGCAAAGACCAGTTGGGTATCAGCAGTTACGGCGCATCGCTCACTACATTGGAAGAAGTTTTCATCAAGTGAGTAACATTTTCATCTTTCGACAAAAAAAATTAGCTGTCCGCATACCGGTAACTCTGCTGCAGAATTATTGAGAATATTAAAATCTGTGCATTCATACAGAATATTGAAAAACAAAAAATTGTTTCGCAGATAATCTGTTTTTTTTATAAAATATCTTCATGGTGTGCTTTTTAGTAATATTTGTGTGTTGTATGTTGAAAGACACCATTTACTGGAATGACACCACACTCATGCCGGAATTCTCAAACATGAGGTGCTCCTTCATGTTTTCTGTTTTGGTCAGTCAATCACTGCGTGTTGGGTAAAGAGGCATTTAACGTGTGAACATGGGTGTGCAGGTGTACCATACATAGTGTGGACCTCTGCACAAAACAAGCCCACATAATGTAGGGTGCGGTGGCGTAGTGTGGACTCGCACACGTCCACACAATGTTCCCCCCTCTCTGAAAAACAGTTTCAGAGTTTGAAGAGGAACAGTCCAGGGAATCACCATCAAAAATCCAACTCGAAGGAGTTATTCTAGTTAGAGAAAAATGAGCGTTTTTCTCAAGTTTCCTTAACCACAGGAGAACCAAGGAAAGTCCTCATTTTGCATTTAAAACAGGTTTTTGTGTATCGATGGGTGTCACAAAGGGGGGTGGGTACCCCTTAGGTATCTTTATCCCCCTCCCTGTGCCCAGGCCCCCCCATTTAAAATCTTGAAATAAGCAAATCTTTAAATACAAGCCATAGATTCTATGCTGACGGGGTTTCCTTGAATAAAATGTGCCTTCCCCCCCAAATTTTACCTCAGTATAACAGAAGCAACACCAGTGTGTGGTGCCACCCAATCGCTAGCATGGGGCTACCACAGGACTGGCATTTAATTCTGGCAAAATTCATATTCAATTACTTTTGAGGGTTGGCGAGAACTCGGACAGCACCCTCAGAGACAGACTACACCAAGCACCAGAGACGGACAACCACCACCAGGAAACCAGCACTCTGCTGCCGTTGAAAGCACCGAATGGCCTGGTCCCCAACGGTAAAGTGCACTCCAATGGCACGGTGCCACCGAGCCCTAGCTCACCCAAACGGCCCCGTTATGGCTCCATGGACAACTTGAACGTACATCAAGGATCTCTGCTTGGGGACTCTACACTCGTTGACATGTCCAGAGGCAGCAGCAGTGACGGAAACTTAAGTATGTGCATAGTATGCTTAATATATGGGGAATTCCAGAAATTTGGGGTCCATAAGTGTGACATTTTTGTGTCCCTGTTACTCCTGACCTTTGTTATTTGACATGGAAATATCACTGAAATTGATTTTCAAACTATTGCTATTTGTTTTGCAGGTAATTTGCATTAATTTATCACTCTTTGGAATTAGAAAATGTGTTCTGAACTTACAAAATCATATGTCAGATGTGAGAGGGACACAAAAAAATGGATCCCTAATTTCTGGAATTACCCATGTGTATTTCAGCATCCAAGTCCGTCATTCAGAGCTAGGTCTGGGTCTTCGCTCCATTGGAAATACACAGAGATGTGCTAACAATACATGCAACCATAGCTCTCGAAGCCTGGTTTCGACGCGGCCTTGTCTCAGGCCGTAGCTAGGAGTTTGTTTGGTAGTAGGAAAATAGTCCCTTTTTGGGGGGATTCCATTTAATTGTTTTGACTTTTCCAGTGTTGCTTTCATCAGCGTCTGTGTTTTTGCTCGTTGCTGAAAAAAAAATCTTTCCCTCATTCAACCCATTTTCCCCATCCTGATGTAGTTTCATCAGTGTTCCAATTTGCTTCACAAGCTACTCAATTTTGCTTCTTTAGCACTACAATTTGGCTTTTAGAACCTCCATCCCATCCCAATCTACAACTCCGCACCCCAGCTAAGCTATCTGCTTGTGTGCCATGTCTGTGTGATATGTCTCACCATAAATAACCTGTGTCATAAAAGTATCCAAGCCGCTTGTAGTATACTGTGTGTATACTCCATAGTTATTGTGACAACGCCCTCTGGTCTTTGGAATAAAAGAAGTTGGGAAATTCCAGTAATGGGTCATGTCTCTGGTGTGACAGTTCTTGTACTTAGATACATAACACCACTTTGATGAGAACACGAGGTATTCTAACTGAGGCTGAACTTACAAATAGATGTTCCAAATTTACAGACAAATTCATGCCTCTGTCTTCTGAAGCCTTGCTGTAAGTTTGAGCTTCAGGTCCAATGCTTTCTGGTTGCATGCCCTATGGCTGACTGCCTCTGTTGTGTTTTATTCCTCTGCGTAGGTGACAAGTTTTCCAGCACCAGCAAACTGCCGTTAACCGAACGCCGCAACAAGGGTCTGCAACTCTACGCCCAGCAGTTCTGGGCCATGCTGGTCAAGCATGTCTTGCACAGCATGCGCAACTTCATCCTAGCAGCCGTGCAGCTAGCCGTTCCGCTCCTGAACACCAGCGTGGCTGTCGTCCTGATTCTCATCGCACCCCAGCTGGAGGCCTCCCCACCCCTTGTCATCAGTGCCAAGCCCTACCAGAACAGCATCGCCCAGTTCTCCAAAGGCCAGAACTTGTCTTACCCCGTGACCGAGAGTCTAGGCAACATGTATACCCGCCACTTCGACGGCACGGCTACTCGAGTCATAGATATCGATGCAATCACACCTCTCCCGCACAGCATGCGGGAGTACCTGGTATCACAAGGCGAGACTTCCATTAGCGCATTCAACTCCAGGAATCTGGTATCGGCGACTTTCGAATATTTTGATAACAGACCAGTCATCATAGGAAACATTTCCTTGGGTAATATCTCTCTCCTCGTTGGAACGGCACTCTACAACAACCAACCCTATCATGCGTCCCCACTTGCCCTCAACGCTATCAACAATGCCTACTTGATGCACTACCTTACTGAGGACCACCGCGTGACGGTGATCAATGAACCCCTGCCCCCGACGGTCCAGGAGCAGTTCGCCCAGGAGTCGGATGCCTTCGGCATGGGGAGCATGATCGCATTTGTCATGATGTTCGGCATGGCATTCCTGGCCTCCTCCTTTGGCGTCTTCCTCATCATGGAGTCGTCCACCAAGGCCAAGCACCTGCAGATCGTCAGCGGGGTGCACGCCACCACCTTCTGGCTGGCCAAACTCCTCTGGGACCTCATCAACTACATGATCCCCTGCTGCTTGATCGGGATCCTCATGCTAGCCTGCCGGGTGGAGTCCTACGCCCTGGAGGGACGCGTCTGGGACCTCTACCTTCTTCTCTTCCTTCACGGTTGGGCCATCATCCCCTTCAGCTACCTCCTCTCCTTCTCCTTCAAGGAGCCCGCCTCAGGCTATGTCCGCATCCTCATCATCAACATCGCTCTGTCCATGGTCATGTACTTCACCTTCGAAGTCCTCTCCATCCCAGAGCTGGGGTTGAAGCACATCGCCGAAATCCTGGACTGGGTGTTCATGCTGATGCCCCTGTACAGCCTTGGTGCTGCTCTGGAGGCATACTACCTCCATTTCTCCCACATTAAGATCTGCCTGTCATTCCCACCGTTCAGCCAACAGTACTGTGACGCACAGGGTAAGATCCCCATCCACATTTTGAACTATCTAACACAACCCTAACAGTCCTGAATCCTTCAATTTCAATATAATTTTACATACACCCTGTAATCCTTCTCAGAGATGCAAGTTGCAACATGTGTACAAATCTGTATATCTCGTGACATCAAGACAGAGCCAACCAAACTTCCAATTGTTAAATTATATTAGAAAGTTCCATCGAAACGTGTTGGTCGATCATCCCCGGGGTTAATGAGCAACGAACATGTAATAAGGTTTCTGTGCAGTTTTGGATATTTGTGAAGAATTCAATTCAAACTAAGGGAAGGTAGGGTTTTACCTAGTAAATATTTTGTGGACATTTAAAATATCTGCTTTGCCCTGCACACTCAGCCTGATGAGTCTCAAGTAAATAGTGGCTTGATCCGGCAAACGGGTGCCGAGGTGCTTTTTCCCCAACTAATTTTGCTTCAGTTCACAGCATTAACAGCAATTCTGATAAAAATGGACATTAATTAGGTGGATAGTTTTGAGGATTCCTACTGACTGCCATGGGATTGATTGTTTTCAAGGTTCACAACTCAAAGGTGGCTCTGCTGACTTCCGATTCATTTTACTATTCATGATTGTTTATTTACCCTTTTTTTTTTACTGACAGGCATTTCTTACGAGCCTGAGTACTTGACGTGGGGTGGGAAGGGGATTGGTCGATACCTGGTCTTCCTTGCCATTGAAGGTCTGGTGTACATGGCCCTGGTGTTTCTTGTAGACTCCAGCCTCTTCAAGAAAGTGGCACCTCCACTCCGTAATGCCTGCTGCCGACGTAAGGCACTGGTCTACAGCGAGACACATAAAGTGACCAAATTGGAGGTACTAGAGCTCTTGTCTTTCATGTCAAAGAGCCCAGATGCTGAGCAAATTTGGCAATGTTGTAGTTGAGATCCTATAAGACCATCGCAAGACTAACACAAGACCACCTGAGGACAGCCAGAGCACCCTGGTCGAAACATTAAGTTTTACACTCACTGCTTCTTCTCAGAACAACTACTCTTATAGAACTATTGATTTCACATTGTGCACCCACCACCCTTCCCTCTTAGTCTAGCCTCCACCATGCAAAGAGTCAAATCTCACGAGGCCTCCCGTCTGGATATGAGCCACATGCTATTGACATGAACTGCAACAAAAGCATTCCTTTGTCATTGTTCACCTGTTAGTTATGACTGGTCTTATGGCCAGTCTAGTGTCTAGTCTTGTGTCTGGTGTTGTGTTTAGATTTATGTCTGGTCTTGTGAGTGGGCTATTGTCTGGTCTTGAGACAAGCCTCGTGACTGCGCTTTTGTCTGGCCTTGTGTCTGGTCTTGAGACAAGTCTTGCGACTAGGCTTTTGTTTGGTCTTGTATGTGGTCTTGAGACAAGTCTTGTGACTGGGTTTTTGTCTGGTCTTGTGTCTGGTCTTGAGACAAGTCTCGTGACTGGGCTTTTGTCTGGCCTTGTGATGGTTTTAACTGCCACACCGCAGTCTGTTTTCCTGACTGCAGGTCTGAGTGCAACAATTTTGGCAATGTCAATTTCAGGATAAACAAAGTGGAGAAGTATACGCCATTTTATGATCCACAGACAAACCACATGTGGCAGTCTTTTATCCAGTCAAAGAGAATATTTAAACTTTCAATCAGTGGTGGAGGAAGTGGCATGTATGTCAAAGATAACTATGACCTCAGTTCTATAAAAAGCCACCACTGCTTGTATATTAATGACATTCCAGATGGTCAGTTTTATTCGTTTTAGGTTTTTGTCATAAGCCATAATCTGTTATTGTTCCACTTTGTTGATGTTTTTGTTTTGTCCAGATTTTGACTGTAAATCTTGCCTGCTTTTTTCTTTTTTTTAAAAAACAAACAGGACGATGAAGATGTTGCCATGGAGAAGTCCCGCATCTCAGACACGCCCCTCACCAAGCTCTGCCAGACCGATACCCTGCTCATCAGAAACCTGAAGAAGGTCTACTCCCTGCGGGGAGGCCAGGGGCTGGTGGCCGTCGATGGTATCTCGGTGGGGGTGCCCCTTGGCGAGTGTTTTGGCCTTCTCGGTAAGGAACTCTCAAAAGATCAGAGCTGATAGCAGCAAGCAAGTCATTTGTTAGGAACCCTTGGTTTTCCGTTCGGCCTAGTTCAGGGGAAGCCATTTTTGATTGTGTGCCTAGAATCCCTGGTATTCATTGTAATCTGTTAAATGGGGTGGTGCCAGACTATTTTGGGTTCCATGCCTCAGTTTCATTTTTTTTTAATGTGGGTTGAAATATGTATGGATATAATTAGTCACAATTTAAAATTGTTCATCAACAAAATGGCATCAAATATATGGTGAACTTTTATTTCTCACATTCGTTTGTATTCTCAGGTTTTAAATTTGAGTCATAATTACCTGTGTTTCAGTTCCCATATCTGTTGATAGTTTTGTTAATTGGCAAAAGACTTTGCCTCATAAAAAAAATTCTGCCTGATAGATCTTGTACATATCCCTCTAAGAGGACTGCCTAACAAGTACTCTGTTGTGATCCATCAGTCTTTTTCAATTTTCTCTGTAATTGTTTTTATATTTTGATCAGGCGTTAATGGAGCAGGAAAGACCACAACTTTTAAAATGTTGACTGGAGATGAGTCAGTAACCTCCGGCACTGCCTTCCTAGATGGATACAGCATCAAATCTGATATCAAACTAGTAAGAAACTGAAAATTTTGTTGTCTGTAGGTTTTTTCCATCCAAGTTTTAAGTTGGTAAAGGGAAATGGGTACGTGGCTGGGTACTGTTGACTATAGGAACATCAGACAATTTGCAGGTTATTTCACGGCTTTTTCCATTCTTTTTTCAGTTTTGAATTTTCCTCTAGTTGCTCTAATTTCAGATGATGACAAAATGGTTATCACTCCTGAGGTCACCTTCATTTAAGCAAATATAATGAAAAATTACTACCTAATACAATAAAACAAAACAAAACAAAACATTTACAGCAATGTCTCCAGTGTAGATTTCAAGTTTCAAAGATGGCACACTTTTTGTTGACTTCTCATTGCAGAATCGTCGAGGTTGCAGCCGACAAATTTTGAACAGTTGCCGAAGTTGTAATTTAATGCACACTGTTTGCGACCACTTATTTATTGCAGTGCTAAATACAATCTTTCTAAATGGACTGACTGCTGGAACTGTGACTTTGTTCAAGTCAAATTTCTCAGGCACGTAGAGCTAAGATTAAACCTCAATCAAGTCAGTGTGAAACACATTTCTACATTCCAGCATAACTAGCCTGTTCATTCTTCATCGAATGAAATTGCCTGACTTATAGGGCTGAGATTAAAACTCTATCAAGTCATTGTGAAACGTGGTTTACTTGCATGCATAAGCAGGTTTATTAAGCCTCTGTCTTGAGGTCGGTTCACACTTCAGGTGAATGTGAAGCGAATTTGACATCATGAAACAATTGTTGGTAAATTCACTTAAGCTGAAATGTGTTCAACTTTTGCAAGTTCACTACATGATTATTTGATATGATATCACAAAGTCATGTTTTTGTTGGCTTTCAGACCGAGTATGAACCTGCCTGTAGTTTTTTCCTTGTGTTTTTTTTACCCAGGTTCAACAGAGGATGGGATACTGCCCGCAATTTGACGCCCTCATCGACCAAATGACAGGCAGGGAAACGCTGACCATGTACGGTCGCCTGCGAGGCGTGCCTGAGGCTCATATCTCTGACGAAGTCAACCGACTGCTCAAGATCCTCACCATAGAACCACATGCCGACAAGCTGACCAAGACATACAGGTAAAATGAATCAGATTTTGTTTCTGACCTCGTTTATGATTTTTAAAATCATTTTTAAGAGATCGATGATCACCATTGGAAAGGTTTGTAAATGTTGTTTCTTTCACAAAATAGAGCAAAGAATAGAGAAGAAAAGAAGAAAGGGAAGAAACCTGAAGGAAAGGAGATAAAAATCAGCAATTTGCTTGGAAATACTTGGGAACTGGCACCCTGTCACCGTCAATGGTGTGTCAGTTTTCCGATGAGTGTGTTGCCCACTGCCCTTGGAAAGATCTCTGCCTCCTTCCTGGCTATGCCCATTGTACAGACAAGAAAAAGATCTACGGCGTGCAGGCTTACTTGATCACTGACTCATTTCATCTTTGTGCTTTTTCATCTCCGTTTTGATCAGTGGAGGTAACAAGCGCAAGCTCAGCACAGCCATTGCCCTGATGGGCGACCCTCCCATCGTCTTCCTCGACGAGCCGACGACAGGCATGGACCCCGTTGCCCGGAGACTATTATGGGATACCTTGTCACAGATTCGGGCCAGCGGCAAGTGCATCATTCTCACATCACACAGGTAAACAAACTCAAAGACGGATCCAGATCAAAATTCTGTCGGGGTCGGACTTGTTTTCAGTAACGGGAAACAAGTGGAAGTTTTTTCATACATCCTTTTACAGCCTTTCTGAGGGGTGAGGCTACATTTTGTTGGCTTTTTTACATACTTGTCCAAGGAAGGGAAATGAAATAGACCGAAAATGTTCTTTCTCTAATTTTTTTGGGAAGATTTTACTCTTTTACCATCTCGTGATTTGGGACAAGCTTTAGGCCAGCAACCTGCTACTATGTGGCCTGGTGTTCTTTTTTGCCATTTACACTATAATGAAGAGCAGGGGACTAGTTTCGGATTTCCCTAACTTAACTCTGCAAGATCTTTCCTCAAGTTGCATGAAATGGCCACAGCATTATAACCTGGAGAATTCTGATGTGAACATGCATTTGTACTTGGGAAAGCGGAGGGCTCTAGACGCTTTAAGAATTAATCTGCTAATTAAGAAGGTCAAGACCTGTTCGTTTCACATGGAACTGGATCGAGATCAGTGATCCGCTGTTGGTCCACTGACACCAGATCCAGTGTAATGTATGGCATGAACCAGCATTGGGATCACTGATCAAGATCGAGATCCATGTGAAACACACAGGCCCTAATTGTAAAGCAGGTGTTTTCAAGAAATGCAGTGAAAGAATGCATTAATCTGCATTAATGGTCTGATTACATTGTAGTATGGAAGAGTGTGAAGCGCTGTGCACCCGGCTGGCCATCATGGTCAACGGTCAGTTCAAATGCTTGGGCAGTGTGCAGCATCTCAAGCATCGGTTCGGCCAGGGCTACACGGTGCTGGCCAAGGCCAAGCATGGGCAGAATCTGAACGGGTTCAAACGGCTCATGGAGGAACAGTTCCCTGGTACGCTCATTCAAATCTATTTTATTTATCACTTCAAAGTCAGGCTTTGTGTGCTGCTCTCTCTGATCGTCCAAAAAATCAAGCTTAAAAATTATCATCAGTGATAGTTTGTCGACTGTCAAGTGAAATATGGGTGGTTTTCCCAAATCTCACCTTCATTCCCATTGCAGTTGCATTTCTACTTTTATGAATCTTGTCTAACTTAAGACTCTTAAACTCAATGCAGAACCGTTTTCTGCCATACATAATATTGCATTGTCAGGTCTGATTCCTTGTGTGTTTTTGTTTGGTTAAAGACCAACTCCAACAGTTTCAAAAGGTTTGAAAATAGACTATGATTGTGTTTAGTGTGTAAATAAATAATATATTCATTGCTTAATCATGTCTGTATTGCGTTTGTATTTTTAAAATTTTGCTGAAACTTTTGAACATTGTCTTTGAGTTTTATGAAAAATTTCCATAATCTGACTGCTGGCGGCGCTGTTGAGAAATTTGTGTGATTAATACCGGAGAAAACATTGACACTGGTATCCATGGCAGGACTAGTACATATACATGAACATGGAGCTACATGTGCGCGCACCGCATACCAGGGATTGATCTGTGTGCCGGGTTTGCTGTGCCGCATTATCTCTTTTCTGTCAAGATTTTGTGCTCCTTTCTTCATAATTTACAAAAATGCCGAAATCGTGCATCATTGGTGGATGTATGAATTCTGCGAAAGAACCAGGATTGAAATTCTTCGAATTTCCAAAGAACGAGAGCATTCTTCAAGTTCGTGCTGTCGTCCGCTGCTATAAGCCTGCTATGCATTCTTAAAGAGCGCACACACTGTGGTATTTCCTCTCCACCATAATACATCACAAAAACCAATATTTATTAGATGCTAATGAGTCATAATGACACGTCCGTTTTTACAATACCGGACTGGACTCGCCAGAAAAATGGATACAAGAACCTTCTTTTATTAACACAAAAATGTGTATTACAAGGGAGATATTGATATGTGCCACTTTTATTAGACCTGGCTCTTCTGACTAAGATTTAATATGAGAAAAGTTAGCATCATTGGAATTGGTCTTTTGAACAGTGGAAAGTGTTGAGCTCAAGATCAAGCAGACTATGGATATTTTGGATAAGTTGAGATTTCGAAAGAGGCAAATGGACTGTATGCATGAACATTGGACTTAAAACATAATGATGTCATGCTCACCCACCTCACTGCAATAGGAAAGCAAACGTATAAACAAAGCGTGATGTCATTATGTCATACATTTATTAATGGCACTGCATGGCTCACTCAAACAGGTCCTGTGTGTCAGGGTCATGCTCATGATTATTTGAGCATATATGGCATATAGTTTACTCCCACTTTTCATCTGAATGTGCACAAAATTGAATTGTGTGCTGACATATCTGTCTGTCACCTAGTAGCGTTTGTAAATTAATCCATGCATATAGTCAATAGTCAGAGAAGTAATTGTAGTAAGTCCTGAAATAGGAGAAAGGAAGGGACCAAAAAATGTCAGCCGTGATGTGTGATATATTTTAGTAAACCTAAAGTCACGAGTTGTGTGAATTAGTAGTAGCTATACCAATGACCTTGTCCAGCTTGTTTTAAGTAATTTGTGTGTTTACGTCCAAATCATAGATCGTTTAATGACATAGGACGGCCAGTCAGCATATTAGTTGTAGGAGCAATGTAAGCATGAACTGCAATATATGTTTTGTCACAGCGGTACGTAGTACATGACCTCAACATATTAAGTAAAAGTCAAACTCAGTGATTTTGCCAGCGCAAATAACACAGCTTGATTGAAACTTATATTCTGGTTGAACTACTGCGCAATTGATTTCAAAATGGTAAGAGAAAACTCACCAATGGAAAATCACTCCGTGATTTATTTTGTTGTCTCAATTGTTGAATTTGATTTTGCAGGCAGCCAACTGAAGGACGAACACCAGGGTATGGTGCATTACCACATCACCAATGCCCAGCTGACCTGGGCCCAGATCTTTGGCGCCATGGAGAGAGCCAAGTCGCAGTACAACATCGAGGACTATTCGGTCAGCCAGACCACCTTGGAGCAGGTCTTTCTGAACTTTGCCCGGATGCAGAGGGAAGATGTCCTCCAACGGTAGCATTGCTCAATGCCAACAGTCACTTACAATTGTACATACTATGCAATTGGTTATTTTTAATACTGGCAAGATGTCAGTTTGAATGGTAGTTTGCAACAGAGCATGTGTAAACATTATCAGGCCATCTACATGCATATTCATAGAGGGGAGTTGAAAGGTTAAAAGACTTACTGTTCTCCTGCACTGTACGCAAAGCCAGTGGAATCCATCATGGCAGTCAGATTCTGTTAGTTCCTCCGTACCCCAATGCTCCAGAACATGGGTGTAGTGAGGGGGCACTTGCCCTGTGTGGAAAGAGATTGAAAAATAAAAAAGAGGGGGAAGAGTGATTGAAATAAAACGAGATTAAAGGGGATGAAAATCACTACTTTGCTTGAAGAAAACCTCAAAATCAACCCCTTTCCACTGTGAACGGTTTATCATTTCATAGCTGAGAAGTGCTTTGCTCCGGCTGGAAATTCTGCGCCTCTTCTGGGAAAAACTGGTTTGTTCCCCCCATGCAAGAAATCCCGGGGACTCCCATGCTCAGAAGTCTCCCACAGGGATAAAACCTAGTTTGTTTTTTGGAAAGAATTCCATATACAGACAAGACTAATGTTCCTTTAAAATGTTATAACATCCGTCAGAAAGTGATAACGTGACCTAAGAAGTGAATTCCAAAGCATTTGCTTGGAAAACCCTCTTTCAGACAAATCTCCGGTTTATGCACAGAGCCTCAAGTGTTGCCCATGTATGGAATTCTTTCTGGTCTTCTGGTTTCTGGGCATCACAAGAATTTTTGGAGTGCTGGGTCCCCAGAGTGTAAGTTGAGGGTTAAGCTCTTTGTGGAGTCTCTGACCAGGGCCCAATTTCATGGCGTTACAACAGTTGGCAGAAAATTTGTGCTTACCATAGCAGAAAATTTTGCTTACCATAAGCACTATTTCCTTGCAGTATTTTGCATTGGTGGTTTTAAGGTTGTAGGGGCAAGAGATATCCATTGTTTGTCATTATTTTAAGCAAATCTTTCCTCCAAGGTAAGTGTGCCGTTTGCAGTGCTTATTGCTTACTGTCTCAATATAATACGTGGAGGCAGTGTTCGCCAAAAATTGTGTGCCTAGCAGCGCCTTGAAATTGAGCACATGTGAAGATTCTTGCAGTGGAGTTATTTATTGATGCTCTCTGGTGGTTCATGGATTTTTCATCAGGTTTTTTACACCCGGCTTTTTTTGCCCAAAATTTAAATCCTGTTCTTTTAATATTTAAAAATGTCACTAAAATGCATCATGATGGCCCAACCCCAAATCTGCCAATGGCTGAATTGAAGTTCATGTATTTATGAGCACTAAGTATTCATACCATATTCAACTGGTTTTCATGCCGGAGTTTTTTTCTAAAAAGCCCTTCGCACTGCAATGAAAAAAATGGTCAATAGTAAAAGTAGTCATCAGTTACAAGTATATTTTCATTTATTTTTAGTCACAGCCAGTAATAGTTCGTATTGTAACAAAGTTAATTTGGCTTGTCAGTTGTATTGCGCGTTTCACTGACTTCCTTTCACTATGATATACCTAGTATTACAATGCAATGATTTACATACAGGGTAAAATAACGTGAAATGCATTGGACTCATCCAAGCTCCCCAATTGTAACATTTTGTTCAAGTTCAAGTTGATTCTGTGTTTTATGTATGATTGCAATATCTCCACCATTTGTTTCGTTTGTATTCTGTTTGGAATCCTTTTTTGTTTATTTGATAATTTGTTAGTTTATATTAGTTTGATTCTTGATTCTTTCCTTCCTTTTGTTTTTAATTTCTTAACGTTTTGAAATAAATGACCAATTTGATGTTCCTGCCTTGCTGTTTGAATAGTTGCTCCTTCCATAGGGTTGAAACCCCCCATCCCCCAGCTCAAACAAAGGTAAAAAAATGGGGAAAATAACAAATATAACTAAAGTAATAATGTATGTCATGTAGTGTTTTATCATCATTTCCACTTGTTGGCAAAAGGAGACATTCAAAAAATTTCCGGCATGACCCCCCCTCCCCGGAAAAATTTCTGATTCCACCTCTGGCTCCACAAAAAGGCAATAATGCATTTCATATTCTGTGCACATTGGCCCCGCCCCTCCCGAATTCAATGCCGACTGACGGCTGCTTTGTGTTTGCATCTTTTAGCCAAGGTGTACGTCATAAAACAGCCGTCAGTTGGACTACGCAGGTTCTTGTCTGGTAACCTAATCAATGCGATTGTTAAGTGGGGACAAATAATTACGGGTGCCAGTCGAATTTAATATGTCACGAGAAAAAGTCGCAATGGCTTCATTTGGAACCGACCCATGGTAAGAATACGTCCTGAAAATAATGTTACATTCTCTTTAGTGCCTGCAGAATCAGTAACAGGATAACCTTTGATATATGGGTATCCCTTACCATGCCTGGATTTCCTTAAAATTTAGGTTTTTGGTTCGTAAATGCCATTTTAACTTAGTCGACAGAGTGACATGAAAAACAGGTGTTAGGCCAAGGCCTTGTAATCACATATAAACAATCACCTGACCCTGGAAATGGTTGGCATTTGACTTTTCTGAACAAAACCCAAAGTTTGCTGCATGTAACAACACAAGTTACAATTCATGATTCACTTGGTTTTGAGACGGAAAAATTGAATGGTATTGTTGTTAATATTCGCGATATGGGACGTGGGATTCAGACCTGATGCAATTTCAGAGAAATGGAGACTTATTTTGCCCTTTTGAAAAAACTCTGTCAGGGCTACGGATCAGAAAAAAAGGACCTAAACATCTGCAATCACACATGCAAATGTAGGTTTAATGCTTAAACAAAGAGCGGACATCCGGGTTTTTCACAAAAATACGGGTAGCAACTACACCACGGCCGGTGAAAACAACTTCAACGAGTGCGCGCGTACGTATAGGTCAAAGAAAAGATTGTATAACCTGATCCTCAGACTGGCTAGTGCATGCGTACGTCGCCAAGGTCGCTGTTTTCACCGGCACAGTACCTGTTATTTTGCGATAATCCCGGATGTCCGCGCTGCCCCATATGAAAGGGGAATTTGGTGTATTATATAGTAGTGGTATGTGTGAGATTGCATAGTTGAGGGTGCTGCACCATGTGTATGTCATGCTTGCCTTCAAAAGGAAACAAATGCAGAGCCGTTTCTGGCAAAATTGAAAGTTATTCCTGTTTTCTTTATGGTCTCATCAGGCTGACAGAGTACGAGACCTGTCAGCGGACAGGTCAGTCAATCATGGAGAAGATTAATCAGAGGAACGACCTACAGAGGAAAGGATCCAGCCACTCAAAGGTTGGCAGAAACATGAGCGATGCATGCTGAACTATAAACCAATCAATTAAGCCCCGTCCCATTGTGTTCTGACCAATCAAAGCCATGATTTATGAAGTCAGACGGTCGCACATTCGCGTATGATGCATGCGGCTGGAACATGAGGCACTGCATAGGAGAAAGTACCCATATGCACAGTGGGCGGGCCTATTGGATCGGTCTATTGCAGACCAGTGATTTTCTGGGGAAGAGTCTGGGAATGACCAGTAGCTCAGCACATACGCATTGAGCGGTGCATTCTTCACAGTTTGGACCACTGATATCCACATTGAAAAAAGAAAAATCAGTTCTAAATATGTTCTTTTATTTACATGTGAAGCGAAGTTTAAATTTTCGGTAAAAGTACACAGAAAATTTGGGCGCCAAGAGGAATGTTTGGTATACCTTAACAATCGGTATAGCAGTGTTCATTATAGCGACATTCCACTCTACAAGAGGCGATTGATTTGAAGGCACAAAGATTTTTTGGAATGACAGAAGCGATTGTAGACTGGTCCCCTCCCTGAATTTTTACCAGTTTGCATGTACACCTATGCATGACGTATAAGCTATCCAGTCTCTTTTCATATAGTTCATGGATGTAGACTGTGTTGATGTGGGTCACAGCATTTTTAAAATCCTTTGGGATGCATGGGAAACAAGCCGAAGCTATTTTTTAGTAAAGACACATGCTCACCTTACAGCAATGTTGTTTCAAGTCCATCAC